CGTGAGTTCGGTTCCCGGTACCGGAGAAAAACCAAAAAAAAAAAAAAAAAAAAAAGAAACAGCCGATCACTGTGATGCACAGCTGGTCACTATGATGCATATTGTAAGAACCAATCCCCAACTGACAAGCTATTCTGCTTCTGTACTTTCTGCTTGCTTATCTCACATAAGCCCTAGACCACCAGAGATCAGGGCCTGACATTTTGGGAATGATCCCAATCAGTGCCCATCAATGTAAAACAAATCTGCCTCCAAATCCTGGGTGTTGTGTCAGTGTTTCTGCTTTCCATTGCATCTGGTGAGTCAGCTGCGAAGACTGACCATACTGACTTCTTTGGTCATCCGTTGAGGACAAAGCAAGCGCCTCTCCAGGTCCCAACAGGAAGGTGCGCCCTTGAGATTTCTTGAGTCCCCTTGGAGGTCTGAAGGAGGATTCCTAGCTTCCTGCTTGAGCAGCTCACACTGGACCCCAAAGGGAGGAGGACACAGTCTGTCTCCCTGCCTGATTCCAGTAAGACCCCCAGGGGCACCCCAGTTAGTCTGTCCTGCTCAGCTCGAGCAGCTCTCGTTAGGACCAACCCCAAGGGAAGGAAGTTGAGATGTTTAACCTCTGAGTGCCTGCTGAATGAATGTGTGAGTGAGTGGAACGAACAGCGTAACTCATAGACTGCTCCGTCTGTGCACCACGACTGGGAAGCACTGGCTGCAGTGGCTGACTGTGCCCTCACCTGCAGCTCCATGGCAATCGACATAGGGCATAACGGAGGCCACACACCTTCCTTAGCTAAGTCGTGCCTAACTTCCCATGAGAAGTGCAGTCAGGCGGGCATCTGAATGGTCTCTGAGAGGCAGCCACCCTTTGTCTGTTGTGCCATTGTTCCAGTGTATACGACACACATAGGAAGTAAGAGATGGGAATTAATTAGTCAAAATCTGACTGCAGGAAAAAGGACTTTTACAGGGTTAAAAATGAAACCAAACCACTTCCTGCATCTCAATGAAAAAGGAAAGAAAGAGTCCCATTCTTCCTGAGAAGTCTACCTGGGTACCCTAGTCGGCCACTGCAGTCACTGCCAATACTTATGGCTTCATTCTCTGCTCCCAACTCACCTATTTCCAGCCAACTTAGCTGGTTCCTGCTAGCCACTGCCTGCATTTGGCCACAGAAGCCCTCCCTCCAGGGCTTTCTGCTTCCTATCTTGGTCAGATGGCGTCATCTAACGCCCACCTGAGATGACTGTCAGCAATTCCTACTGAGTTCCACATTTTGACTGAGGAAAAAATTGGACTGTCAGCCCAGATGAATAAGTTGCCATGGTCCTTTCCAAAAGTCGCTACACCTAGCAAGCGCTTCTCAGTATGTCAAAAGTTACTACTGTTACCCAGAAGCCTGATATAAGGACTATGGACACTAAAAATGAAATGCCCATTCAGATTACAACCCTTTCATTGGTCTGATGGGCTCAGACTAGGCCACACTGGGCTCACTTCTTCACCTGGGTCACTGGGAGCCCATAGTACCATCACTGGGGCAACCAGGACTCTTGCCTCTTGCCCCGTCTGCCAGGCAAAAACTTGCAGCCTGGGAGGACATCTCCTATGTAAGCCAGTCCCCATATCACTTCTAGGAAGAGACTTCACCTTCAAGTTAGAAGCAACAGTCTCCTTTGCACCAAGCCAGTGAGCCTCCCTCTCATCTAACCTACACCTTCAACTCTGACTGTTCCCCAAGAGGAAGATGATGCCTGCAGCCTCCTGAGACATATAACCACAGTCCTGAAATTCGGAAAACTCTTCTCCCAGAGGTATGAGCTAAAGACTTGCCTCCAGGCCTAGCTATTAACCATGCAGACTCACTGCAAACCCCACCTCCACTGCTGCTGTCAGCTGTCATGGGAAGCACAAACAGGCATACAGCCACACCCAGCATGACAGACTGTTAATCACCTTGGGCAAGATCTCTGTGCCCTCAACAACCAACACAGCCACCACCTTAAACTCTGCAGTTCCTGACCCACACACTCTTTTTAGACTGTGACCTCCAGATGCCACCTGGTTTCCATGTCTAGATTTAAAAGATGCCTTCCTCTGCTTGTGAGTCGCTCTCATAAACCTCTTCAACTGGGAAACTCCTGAGATAAGATGCAACTCACTTGGACTCAACTGCCACAACGGGTTAAAAACTCTCCCACTATTTTCAGTGAGGCTCTAACAATAGATTTGGCCAAGCCACCAGCACTTTTTCTCTGAGACAGTCTGTTTCTTTGTCCATTCTGCATGTCATCATGGTCCCCCAAGAAAAAATAATGGATGGTCAAACTGCTAAAATACACCTCTTCTGCTTGTAAAGCCAGTTCAAGATCTCTGAGCTGCCAGTGCTGCCATGACTGCCCTCCATATACGTTGCCTCAGTCTCTTGCCACCCACAGCCTGTTGGTACACCTGCCTAGACCTAAAGAATGCCTTCTTCTGCCTTCAGTTGGCTCCTGTCAGCCAGCCCCTCTTTGCAACTGACCTGGACTCAACCTCCTAGAGGTTCAAAAACTTGTATCCTCTTTGAAAAGCACTTCTAATTAACGACACCCAAGCTGCCTGCTGAAAATACACAAAATCTCTGCGACAGTATCTGGCAGAAACTGATTACAACAGAATTGCTTCCAGTTGGACCTTGTCTCAGAGGATCACATGTAACATGCCCAGCAAAGATTTGCTGGGGAAACTAAAGGACGGGTGAAATGTAGCAGATGCCTCTGACCCCCAGAGGCAGTATACTTCAGTTTGTTAGTTGCCCAGGTAATAGTTCTGGTTATAGTTCCTACTACTTTTGTTTCTTAGAAGCAGCTGGCCACTATGATGCATATTGTAAGAACCAATCCCCAATTGACAAGCTATTCTGCTTCTGTACTTCCTGCTTGCTTATCCCACATAAGCCCTAGACCACCAGAGATCAGGGCCTGACATTTTGGGAATGATCCCACTCAGTGCCTGTCGACATGAAACAAATCTGCCTCCAAATCCTGGGTGTTGTTTTGGTGTTTCTGCTTGCTGCTGCAGTCTAAGACTGGGTCTCACTATGTAGTTCAGACTGGCCTTCAACTCACTATGTAGCCCAGGCTGCCCTCAAACTCAATGATCCTTCTGCTTCAGCCTCCAAAGTGCTGGAAATACAGGTGTGCGCCACATCTGGCAGGATGTGGAATATTTTTAATAGTTATCAAATGTTGCTGATGAAAAGGTAAAATAATTGCATATCCATCAGTCTCCTGAGACAGACTCGCAGGGACACTCATTGAGCTCCAGAACTTCAACTGGATCCTTAAGATCTCCACGGTACAAACAGACCCACTACACTCATCTATATCCTACTGTGTGAATGGTCATTCTGCCCTCCTAACACCCTTGAAAAGTGATTGACTGCACTCCCCAGACCCTGCATCAGACTTCTGGGAAGATGGCAGAGTAGTGAACAGCAGAGAAACAGCAGAGAAACAGCCTCTCCGAGATTTTGGTGTCCAGAGTGGAATATAGCAATGTGAAGAAGAGGAGGAGGGAAGTGGGACCCAGAGACCCAGCAAAGATCTAAAACTAGAATTAAAACCCATGGGGAGAGTAAAGAGAGAAACCTCAATGCCGAAGAAGGAGGTTGCAGGCATGCTTTCTTTGTGAATGTTGACTCACTGCATGGGAGAGGCAGCTTCAACCAGCAGATGCCCAGAGACTACTGGAGACCCCAGAGGCCACCACAGAGAAAC